GCTTCAGATAAATTGTACCATATAATCCTCATAGCAAGTCTATGGCCTAAGCAGCATAAGCCCCATTTGACAGTTATTAGAACTAAGATGAAGAGACTTGTCCAAAGTCACCCGGCTACTAAACAGTATAAATGGAATTGGTTCCCAGGTTTACATGACTGCAGGTTCTGTGCTCTTAACACTGCCCGTGGTCACTAATGCATGGAAGGAAGACACAAGTTCATTAAATGTTGTGGGTGGGTGTTCAAAAGACAGTGAGATTGTCTTTAGCTGCAGGTGTGTGCTATGCATGCTCAGTGGGGCAATCAGGGAAAGCCTCCTAAAGGAGGGGGCTTTGTACTGGCCTCCATTCGTATCCACTAAGTGATTTGTTCTTGTTGTTGGGGTGAATAAAATTCTTACACTGTAGACATGCTGGACAGGAATAGAGGAGAGGCTGAAATAGTAAAAGGACTAGTCTTCAATGCCAAGCCACCTTCACCCTCAGAGTTGTCTTGCTTTTTTTGGGTCTCTCTCCCAGGTGCAAATACTCAAACTTCTAGAGGAAAGTCCTGGCCCCCCACTCTGGGAAATTCTTCCTAATGTCTATCGTGCATTTCTTCCTGTCCCAATAGACTGTCTCACCTTCCATTTCATTTCTCTTTTTCAAGGCCAAAACTCCCAGCAGTAACCGGGCAAACCGAAAGCTTCTGGCCCTTTAAGGCCACCTTCTTCCCCCCACGTGCCGTCTGGTTGGGTTGGCGACGCTGACGCACGCATGACGTCAATGGCAGCTGGCGTGGTCTGGGCACGAGGAGCAAAGTTGGAATGGGGGTTGGGGGAAGAGAGCAAGAAGTCTGTCATTTGCATTTAAAGGGGCCGTTCCCGAATTAATGATCAGGGCTTTAAAGAAATGTGTATCTGGCAAACTTGACGTTTTGGACTTCGGGGCAAGGAAAAGGCGTGGTACAGCTGAAGTCGCTAGTGGCTCGAGTTTGCAATGTCAATTATGTCCTTCCGCGTAAAGGGGAAATAGTCCGTTGGTGCCCCGGCTGGAAGCACGTGACTTGGAGGGGGTGGTGGGGAGGGGACAGGGAAGGAGGGAGGAGCTGGGAGAAGACTGTCAGGCTTCGTTTCAGCTGCCCCCACCCCCACATCCTGCCCACCCTCCTGCAGCTGCCACCACATCCTGCCCAGGCAAGGAACTCGTGTGGGGGGCACTGGTCTAGGACCTGGCTTTGGCACCCCTTCCCTGCCCCTTTCAGTTCCAGGGTAGGGCCTCTGATCTTTGCCCCAGCAGGCCTACCCCCCGGCACAGCTTGGGGCACAGCTCTGCCTGACTCTGCTCCCCTACCCCCTACCTCTGGCCTGTGGAACTTGTCCAGGACTCCAGACCAGAGAGCCCCATTCCTGAGCTAGGACAGTTATCAACGGACAAATAGACGTGTTCAATAAATTTTTTATAATCTTAACTTAGATGCACAGTTACACACATAAACAGAGCCTGTAACAGACATTTGCTGAGCATGTTCCATGGCCAGGCCCTGTATAGCCCTACAAACCCAAACTTGAGTTCAACTGCTACCCTGAAGGAACTCAGGATCTGGTGAAGAAGGGTACATTAGAAACCGAAAATGTCAGTACAATATGGTTTGTACGGATGGGGCAGAGATACAGAGAGTAGAGAGCACCATGCACAAGCAGAGGCACAGGCGGACACGCGAGTCTGTATGGAGGCTGTGCACACGAAGGGCCACCAGTACGGCCGCTCACAGCCCTTTCCCTCTCAGCAAGATGGACGGCAAGGGGACAGGCTGGGAACGTGGTTGGGGTCACTGAAAAACTGAAGGAGTGATCTGCACAATGAAAGAGATGAGATGGATGGAGATAGGGGGTGAAGACTCTTCACATGACTGTGGGGAAGGCAAGAGGGGTCACCAAGCAGCTGGAGAGAGACTGAAACAGCCATAATGGCTCCCCAGAGATATGAGACAATGGGCGGAAGAGAAGCAGCCCTTAGGGATGAGGAAGACCTTGCCAAATTAGGTTGAATTAGGGATGCTTGGGGAGGCATGAATCAAGGGGGCTATTGATGTCACTTTTCTGTATAGACTTATGAGGATGAGACTGTACAGAGGAGTTTACACATGCTTTGTAGGACTTTGGTGGATGTCTTTCTGGCTCCTGGGAGATTTTTGTTTTTTGGTTGGTTGTTTTTTTTTTTTTAGCAACTTTGGGCTGTGAGATGATTTTTCTCTAGGGAATACGGGTTGGCAGCCAGAGGGAGAGAAGGAAGAATGAGGTCCCAGTATCTGAGGCTGCTCAGGCATTTTCCACCTAGAGGATTGTGGGATGGGTAGTCCAGGGACTAGAAGAAAAGGATGCAGTGAGTCACTTTCAGGAAGTCTTTATTATTATCTGATTTCCAGCAACATTACTCCCTAGAATCTTTCTTAGTCCTCCATGGATATATAAATTATATATATTCTATCCCTTAGCCTCTCCTACTCTGCTCTTTAGTAAATTATCATTTCAGCATCTCCAGGTCTAGGACATCCCATCTTCCTTCATGGCTTCTCCCCCTACACGATCCCCTTCATTTATCCTTCCAGCTTCTGGCCCTTTAAAACACCTTCCCAGATGACTCACCTGCCTTCCTCATTCCTTTGTTAAGGACCCAACATTCCAAGGCAAGGAGGACTAACTGGCCAATCACAGCCTTAGCAAACCTGCCTCTGGCTTGATATTGGCTGGAGCTGTGGTTGGCGGGAGGCTCACAACGGCAGGTCTATAGGAGATTGGGGAGGGGGTTTCTGGGAATCAACCCGGGCAAGAATTTGTTCAAGTACTGCTTCTGTTTTTGAGAGAATCCTTCTAGTAGAGCTGGGGCCAGAGAGGTCTCTGGCTTGGAGAACCTCAGAACTGGAGGCTGGTGGAGAACCCAGTTCTCTAGGTCCCCTGGGGGCTTGGCTGCCCCACTTTTTTTTTTTTTTTTTTTTTGCGATCTGGGACCCAATGGTCTGAAGGCTGAGTTCCCGGGCCTGTTCCTAAGAAGCCTTTTCCAGCAGCCCTGGATCTCTCCAGTCTCAACATTCTGCTTTCCCGACATCGGAAACAGCCGGAAAATAAACACCCTGATGACTAAACGGTTTCTCCAGCAAGAGCCTGGGGAAGCACTAAAAATAGAGGCTACAAGTGAGGGGAGGTTCCCCACTTGAGGGAGGGAGAGTGCACTTTCCCATCCGGCTGCTAACATAGCCCCAGGCCTGGCACAAGACTGTTCTTCTCAGAGTCCTTGGAGACAGGGCAGATGGGCTTCTCTTGCCTACCCTTTAGGGCAAGCTAACCCTGACTGGTAAGGAAGACTGACATCTTCTGGTGCTGGGGCCCCATCTCCCAGACCTAATGGGGAACTGAGGAGCTACATTTGGGGACAAAATGGAACACTTTAAATCAGGTTTCCTGAAGGAGAAGCCAAGTGGAAGGATTGGAAACTGAGGCCAAGGAAACAGGAGCCTGCTGTCTCCTTGACTTAGGACATTTAAGACAAGCCTTCAACCTATTTGCAGAGCAATTCTACAGAGCTTGTCTCCTCTGGGGCTTGCATGCGATAATGGGTCTAAAGGGGTTTTTGCAGTCTGGCCCTTGAGTTATTGTAATGCAGCATGATACTGTTCTAACCAATCTACTTGTGTGAACTAATTTAATCTTCACGCCAAATTTATGAGTTAGGTACTATTACCACCATCTCCAATTTTACCCATGAGGATCATGAGGTACAGGGCAGTTAAATAATGTGCTTGTGTTCACAGTCCATAAATTGTGGAATAAGGCTTTGAACCAAGACAAGCTTGACTACTACAAAGTTGATGCTTCCTATCACCATGATATGCTGCCTCCCTCTGTATATGCTAGTCTTTTCAGCACTTAACCCAGAATCAAGTCTTTGTCCAGTAAATCAAAGCCAGCCAGATAGAAATCAGGGTGTATGAAGAACTGAATGCCTTTATGTTCTGCAAGGTTCTTTGAGATCAAAGCCCGATTCCATCATTTCCTCAAGCTCTGGGCAGAAAGCAGAATTTAGAGGTAACAGAGAGGCCGGAGAAGAAGTCTGACCATTATGGCATCCACACTGTTGTTTAGGGCATGTGAAGATTCACCACACCCTGGAGCAACCAGGAATTTTTTTTTTTTTTTTTTTTTAAAGAGCTACGACTGTTTCTTTAATAAGAAACTTTTGGGCGTTTCCTGAGCTGGGGAAAATTAGGGTCCCGCCCCTTTAAATTGTTCCCTTTGGCTTTAAGTGCTCTAGGGCCGCAGGCTCGGGGATTAGGTCACCCAAGAACTATGAGCTGTCGCTTTAAATTGCAGGGCGTCTGCCTAGCCAGGCCCTGGTAAGGAAGGGGGTCTGTCACAGGTAGAGGGAGCAAACGAGCTCCCTAGGTAAGCCCCAGAAGTGAATGTGTCCTTTTAAGTGAGCTTCAGCACACAGTAAGTGGGGGAGATGGACGCTTTTCATTACTTAGTGTCTACCCTTAATTTATCTATTTAGACTGCCACCTCCTTATTCTCCGGGGGCTTCGGAGGGTAAGCTGTCGGGGCAGCCTTGATGCCTATGAGAGTATGCACACAGAGCGCGGAGCCTCCCAGAAAAGGATCGTCTTAAGTGCATAGAGGCGGCAGCGCTAAGCGGCGATCCACAGAGCTCTGAGGGGACTCCAAGAGCGCGGCCCGACCCCTTTAAAGGCCTCTGGGACTCACCTCCCCACTTAGCCTTGGTCCCTCCCTCCCTCCCTCCCTCCCGGCAGGCGGAGGGATCTGCAGCTCTTGGTGTTACAGCCTAGCTTGGGCAGGCGCTGGGGTGGGGGCGACCCGGCCCGGCCCGGCCCGGCGGGCCGAGGGAGCGAGGGGCGGGGCCGCGTCCTCAGGCCCGCCCCTGCTTAGGGCCCGCCCCCCAGCTCCATGGGTTCCTCCTATTGGTCTCTCGCTTGTCCATCACCACTTGTTTTCCCACCCCTCAAGCTAGGCTGAGCAGTGCCTACGTCGGCCTTGACTCCCCGGGGCTGGAGGAGTTACCTTTGGAGCCTGAAAGGAGGAAGGAAGCAAAATATCAACACGGCCGAGGCGGCTCGGGCGCTCGGCCCCTGTCCTCCGCCTGCCCGCCGCCCGCCTGCCCGCCCCCTACACCCACGACGGGGGCCCAGGCTCCCCGGCACCGCCCAGGGCCCGCGTGGACGCCGGCCTCATTTATTATTCCCCCGCCCGGAGCTGCAGCTTCCCGGTGTTGAAGATCCCCCGGACTAGAAGCAAGGGATACCCCTTCCCCGCTGTGACACTCCCCTTCCCCCAGCAGGGCCGGTGAGTAGAGAAAAATAATGCGCCTGTCGCTTTAAGAGGCCCCCTCCCCCACCCCTCCCTGGAGTTGAGGTGGAGGGTGGTCCAGGCCGTCCCCTTGGAGGGGTGGGATGCGGTGGCCTTCTGGGCCGGGAGGAACTCGCGAAGCGGACTGTGTTTTTCCTGTGGCGTTGGTGGGAGATTACATGGGGAGACTGTGTTAGGGAATCGGCTGTGGGGGACAAGTGGAGCGGTCTGTGGGGTCGGGGTGAGGACGGGCAGTTTGGGAGTGCGCCGGACTGTTGGTGTCCGGGTGTTTCGACGGCCTCCAAGTGGTCTGGGAAGGGACGCCATCCTTAGAGGGGGCCTCTGGTGACAGCCGGGAGCGACTGACATTTTAACAGCCGGCCCCCCTCCCTCTCCCTCCTCGCGCCGCCTGTTCCCTCCTCCTTGGCCCGAAATGGTGCAGAAGGGGGCCTGGGAGGGCGGCGGGAGGGTGGGGGCGGGGGGGGAGAGCCGCAGCTGTTTGGGAAGCGGGGGAGGGAGGGGGGTTGTTGTTCAGATGACACCGGGGTGGTGGGTTGGGGTGTGTGAGTGTGTGTCCGCGGCCCGGGCTTGCCGAGCGCCTGTAGAGTTCGGACACGGAGTCACCACGGAGGTGGGCACGCCAAGATCCTTCCTTCGGATCTCCTAGCCCGCTCCTGAGACCCCTGATCTGGTTTGTCAGCGGCCAGAAGTTTGCAGCTGTGTGACATCTGAGCAAGAGTTCTCCAGTCCCTTTCTCCGCCTATGGCGGGCTGAACTGAGCCCAGACTTGAGGGTCTGGGGAGTGGGGTGGGGGCTTTTAGGGAGGGAGGGCCAAGGAAACTAAGATGCATCTAGTCTCTCTTTTCATCCCAGCAGGGCGCCATCCTATCAGGTTTAGGTCTTACAGAGATGGGGGGGGAAGGGCCTCCATTCCTCAGTGATTCAAACTGACCTCTCCGAAGCCTCCTTTGCGGTCTCTCTTATGAGAGGAGGGCTCTTAGATGTGAACAGGCTTGGAGCCACTGCTTAGGTTATCCCAGGTTTGTCCGGAGTGGGAGGCTCTCTGTAAGTCCCTTTAAGCATTGCATTGTTGATGGGTTAGGGGAGGGTACCGTGGGTGAGTCCTGTGTCTCTTAGTCTGTGCCCAGCCCCCCTTTTGAGGTTTCCTTGTAGGCTTCTATTTTGGGGGTGGGGGAGAGTTGGAGGGTGGCTCACCCCTCCCCCTTCCGCATGGCCCTTCCCCTCCCCTTTCCCCACCCCTTCTTTGGGTCTGGTAGGCAATTCAGGTGCCAGCCTTGCCGATGGGAAATTTGCCATCTGGGGCAGTGACCTTGGGCTGCCCTGGCCTGGAGATAGGAGGGGAGCACAAGATTGAGTGTTTCGAAGTTAGGGAGCTGTCCACCTCCCATTCCCCTCCAAACCCCCAAGGGTGGCCAAGGAGAACATCGAAAAGGCATATGTCAGTGTTCACAGATGTCCATCCGCCTGTGGCTGAGGGTCACACCCGTTCCAGGTCTTAGCCTGGCTGTTACAGCTCCCGTGGCCTGCCTGGGAATGAATTTCCTTCCTGTGGTTTCCCAGTGTTGGGCAGGAGGTGGGGGTGGGGTGGGATCAATGTGAGGGTGGCTGAGGACCAGTTTCTGGGAAGCTTATGTGTAGTTCTTTCTCCACTTGCCTGAGCATAGGTATTTGGACCTTTGGGTCTCAGTGATCATATTTTCATTGTCATAGTTCTTCTGCTCCCAACATAACTAGTGTGTGTGTGTTTCTGCACATATACATTTGTAAGGGTGGGGGGGTTCTCGTTTCTCTGGGGAAAAGAGAAGCTTTCGCTCATACTCCTTTAGAGACCAGAAGGGTTGAGCTTTTTATCTAAGATTAGACAGCACATCTGTGTCAAAACTTGAGTCCCACTGCCACTCTTTCAGACATAGCTTTATGGTAGGGAGAGACCATAGGAAGACACCATCCTTGTAGCCAGACCCAGTAAGAGAGCATCATAACCCTTGTGTTGGGGGACAGGCATGGGAGGCTGGACTAGAGCTTCTGTCTTCTGTACCCAATGCCTGGAACAGGGAGGTGAAAGACATGGAAGGATGGCAGGAGGTGCCCATTGTCCACTCAACTCAGTACCTGCTGCCCCTGTGCTGGAGGGGCCTGGGCTTCCCAGCTCTCCCCTCTGGGCTACTGGATCTGCTCATCAGCTGGGAGATATAATAGTCTTTTTGGCTGCTGTTATATAATCTCTCTCCAGCAGGCTTTCCTTATTTAAAAAAAAAAAGAAAGAAAGAAAGAAAGAAAAGAAAGAAAGGAAATGAAAAAATCTTCCCTGGGTCTTTCTTGAGAGGTGTGATGGGGAGAGAAGGTGAAGGATAGACTTCTAGATAGCGTCCTGGCAGACGAGTGGCAAGGAGGCTGGGGGAGGCCGCAGACCCCTGGCCCCTGAGGTGGACGGGGAAGAAGAGGCCTTGGGTTTCGATCCTCATTGATTGTTATCTAGCCCCTCCCACCCTCCCCCTCTGATCCTTCCCTGGGATGGTCTCTGCTGTGGGTGTTTCTGGCCCTCTGTTCATCCTGTCAAACCTTCCCCTTCTGCCAGCTGGGCCCCCTTCCCTCTCTGGCTGGCACTGGGTCTGGAATCTCAGTGCTTATCTTGGTGCTGGCCTGGTGTGGGTGGGCCCTGTGTCAAACACTTTGCCACCTACTTCTCTATCTTTGCGGACAACAGGGGTCAGGGACAAATCGGTGGGTCCAGCAATTTCCTAGGTTTATTTGGAGCCACTACCCCTGCTTCTCCCCTTCTTTAGTCCAGAAGGTAGTGGCCTTAGTGGAGAAGATGAGTTGGTGAGGCGGGTAATAGCAGCGTCTACCTCTTGGCCACAAGTCAGAGTTGGTGTTCACCTGGGTTCTATCAGTGAGTGGAAGGACCAGGTGTGGGCCTAGAACTCGTCATCAGGGGTTAGATTCTAGGTCTTGTGGCATTCGTGGCAGATTCTCCCTACCCCTTGGGACTATGGCTGGGACTCTCCAGACTTTCTGAGACCAACTAGTTTGAGGCAATTATCTCCCTTTTACAGGGAAGGAGGAGATGGTGGTGAGGCCGGCATAACCTCAGCATCACTGTAATCACTGGTGGCTTTTATGAGCCAGTCATGGGGTCGGAGTCCGGCCAACTGTCTGTCCCTCTGTTCCAGTTTGGTGACTTACTTGTGGGGGAAGGGGGAGGTGTAAGGTCCTAGTAGCTCTGTTCTGGAAGCTGGACACCTTGCTGTGTTGTGGTTGATATTGCCCTGTCTGTCCGTAGTTATAGCAGGCAGAATGGAGTTTCGACCTCAGGAAGAACTTGCCAATGGAGCCAGTTGTTGGAGAGACAGGTGGCTCTAACTTGGCTTCGGAAAAAAAGGGGATGTCAAAGCACTTTCTTCTTCAGTGGTTCTTGGTGGCTCTGCTGAAAGGCCTTGAACTTTGGCCTAGTGGGAATGGTGCAGTTTGGCTCCTGAAATATTTGTTTTCCCTTCTCTCCCGCTGCCTGGGGCTGAAAGCATTCTGAGGAGAGTTTGTCCTGCAGCTGTGGGATGGCTAGCCTGCGGAATAGCAGCAGGGCTGGGTGGGGGTCTGTGTAGATAGATATGTCCAGAGGCACCTGGCAGGTCCACAGCATTTAGTGGCACACAGGCATGAAGGTGTGCCGCGCTCACACGTGGTGTGTAGGCACCCACAGAGCAGCTGCTGCCCCATCAGGGATGGGGGGGCAGGGGATATTGAATGGCAAAGATGATTAAAGGATTGAAGACTGGGGATACAACGCGGGGGGAGGTGGAGGCAAGGAAGTGAAGGTCATGCAAGAACTCTGAAGAGAGAAGGGTTGACTGGAATATGAAGGATGGAGGTTGGGGTACAAATGGGCAGACCTAGAGCACAGCTTGTGAGTTGCGGAGCCCTGGCTGACTTCCATCACTGTCCCTTACCGCCCCACCCACCCCCATTTATCTCTCCGTGGCCCTGGCCTAGCCTGCTTCTGTCCCTCACGCTGGCCTTGTGTCCTTGGATAAGTTAGCCTTCCAGATGTATAGGAGTTTTGCCTAACCTTGTGATGAGAGCACCCGGGGTGTTTTGGTGGTTTGTCACTGGTCTCTGTTGCCCTTCCCATTCGTGCTGATGAGCGCTGTCCACTCTGAGGTATCAAGGTTGCATCTGAGCCCTCAGGCATTTGGGGCAGATCCCTGGCTTGGGTAATCTCCAAGGCCCTTTGCATCTGATTTTTCCTTTTCCTGAGGCTGTGGCCACAACCTTCCCTTCCGGGGAGCCCAGCCTTGCTTCTGGCCAGGCGTGGAGATGGGGAGATGCATGCTTTGACTCTGCATAGGACCGGGATAGTCTGAAAGCGGGGGAGGGGACGTTGTTCCTGCTCTCTGATCTTCTTTCCCTTCTGTTCTAGTCTGGGAGCGGAGGGACTTGTCCAGAGCTCTGGCCTGTTGCTGGCCACACCCAGGCGGGACCATATTTACTCATTTAAACTCTCTGTCCCAGGAGGCTCTGGGCTCTAGGCCTGGTCACTTACCTTGGCGTGGTGCCTCTGGCCACTGCCCTAGGAGTTTGGCAGGCCAGGGAAGCATATAGGGAACGAGCTTTTTTTTGCCCCTGGTCAGGAGAGCTTTACCCAAACTCCCCCTATTTTCCAATAAACTTTGGAGACCAAAAAACTAAAACTTTTGAGGTCCCTGGGGAGTGGAGGAAGGAAACTTCCATTTGCTGTGTGCCAAGCTCTGTACTGGGCATGGAAACATATGAAGACTTGTTTATTTTTCTCTACAATTGTTTTTTATAGTTTGGGAGACTGCATCAGAGGTTTCAATGACTTGCTCAAGCTTTCCCAGTGAGGAGGGGTTAGGGACTTTTGTCTGAGCATAAGGAAAGTGCCCTGTCCTGCAGGGGACAGTGGAACCTATGGCCCAGGGAGAACCTGAAGGAGGGGGAGGATATGGTGAAGGAAAAGG